TGTTGTTGTGCCACCTATCAGCAAAATGCTATAATGTTTTGTAGGACTGCACAGAATTAATCTATGTAATCTAAATCTGGTTTATGGAAAAATTTTACTATATGAAGCTCATACAGATATACTGTGTAATGTACCTGAGTTTGTGAAGATACAATAAATTGGTAGAAGTGGTGCGTAAATATTTAATGGAAAATCTCTACTGGTACTAACACATGTAGGAAAAAGGAGTCATGGGAAGTACCGTGGACCCCATGATTCAGAAGACATGAGCCAAGACAAAGTGCTAAATGGCCACATGGTGGCAGCATTAGATTCACACTTGCACCTAATTTCACAAATACCTTTGAAATATCCTGCTAATGAAAAGACAGACAGAAATGCAAACAAAATGGACCAAAAGCATAACCTTCTTGTTGGAGATAACAAAAGCAAGTGGAGAAATGATGCACACAGATCCCATTTTAACAGTCATCATACATGGGAATAAAATCTATTTTGGGTCTTAAGTGTTTTAGTGGCTCAGAGAATGTGCTGTATACTCTATGACGTTTTAGCTGTAAGCCTGGTGCCATCTCTGCAGCTATAATCTCCTCTGTGCCGACGACACATTCATTACAACAATAAAAATAAAAGCACACAATAAAAAAAGAATCTTTAAAACGTTATAAACTCCAGTACCAGCTCACCCAAGTCCATGAGGCAGTCCAATAATCAAGACTGTCCATAACCTCAACAAAGGCACAGTACGATGGTCCTGGCTTATTGTTGTGACTGTGTTTGTGGTTGAACCATATCTATGTGAGGCGGTGGGGTGATGGGACACGCAGGAGCATTATATTCTGTGTAAGCAGGGGGAAGATCCTCAGGCTTAATTCCCAGCTGAAACACACAGAAAGAAACATAAAGTTTTAATTCAAATACCAGACAGGCAAAATAAAAATGGGACATAATCAGTTGTATCCATCATTGAGAGGTTCACCTCATTATAGGAAGGTGGGGGCCCACAGTAGGCATCAGTGCTATATCGTGGGGGTGACTGGAGCTCCTGGCTGTAGCGAGGCACCCTGAGGTGTTCTTCAACGTCCTGCTGTGATATGTTTCTAGGGAAGGGGATGAAATATATCGAAGGAGGGCGCCCGTCCTGTTCACTGCGTCTCCACACCTCCCTCTCTATCTGCTCCTCCCTTATGCGGCTGCACGCCCTGCAGAAGGTCGTGCAGAACATGATGGAGAGGCCAAAGCCCAGGATGCCCAGGAAGATCCTTGAAGAGGAAGAGAAGGATGAGGAGGAGATGGGTGAGAGGAGGATGAGGAAGATGGAAACAAAACAGAAGAAGATAGAGAGTGTGAAATGGCAATGAAAGAAGAGGAAATGGGGAATTGGAGGACTGAGAGGAAAGAGGTGTAACTGACTTATGGCATAAGTAATGTCTCTATTTATTGTCTCTAAATGACATGAACAAAAATAATGGATAATATGCATAGCCTATATAACACATACAATATGGAACGTGGCCTTATTTGGTGTAAAGGCAATGCTTTATGGTCATTTTCATATTTTGTTACTTTCATCAATAGTGCAAGCTCAGATTGTGGTAAAGGGCAGTGCTACCACTTTAATACTTTTCTGTTTTAATAAGGTCAGAAGAAAAAAAATATATATATATATTTGAAGTATACAGTACATCCAGCTGTTAGGTCTCTGGGATCACCTAATGAGGAAGTAAATGCCCACAAAAAGGAAGGGTTAAATTAATTACCAAAGATAGAATAAATCCATCTTACTCTAGAATGGGAAGGTATGACATTAGAGCGTGTGTGGATAAACTCTTGATGGACCAAAATGGACGTGGAGTCAGACACTGTAGTAGGAACCTGAAGGGGAAAAAGCAAAATATTACATAGGGATTTCTCCATCAATTATGTGCATTATTCATCTATAAAATGTATCTTTGAGTAGCTGCTTAAAGGTCCAGGATCTATTGGCAGAAATGGAATATAATACCCATAGGTATGTTTTCATTAGTGTATAATATATAATATATAATAATCACTTGAAAATAAGAAACGTTCTGTTTTTGTGACCTTATTATGAGACATTTTTATCTACAGAGGGAGTGGGTATTCTTCTACGTAGGCCAACATGTTGAATCGTTATGCTTCTACAGTTGGCCAGAGTGGACAAACCCTGACTCTTTCGGAATTTCACAAGTTTGGTGGCCACATAGTTTCTCCTACGCGCTTGCAAGGCAAGTTGGTTGTAATGTTCAAAGCTAGATGCCACTGAATCTTACACACTGGTTTATAAACTGGTGATTTTCCACATTTATTTTCTCTTCCTGGATCAACAGGCAAATATACTTTGAACTTAAGACCCATAAATGTTTTTTCCAAGACACCGTGATCGAAGAATATTTTATTGCCCATTTCTACTTGTAGGCAGGGAGATAACAGAACTTGGAGAAGCACGCCTCTTACAGGGAAAACAGTTTGTCCTGCAGTAACTTCATATGGTTTACAATCATTCAGTCTAACCGCACTGCTTGGTGTTATGAGATTATTACGGAAAGATCCTCCTATCAGGTGATCAACAGGAATATGGAGGTAATTGTGTGTAAGGAGGTCAGAAGCATCACTATCAAATCCTAAAAAAGTCAAAGTGTGGTCTGAATTTAATTTAGCATAAAACTCTATACAGGATTTTCAAAGAACAACAATAAAGTATTTTTCAGATAAACTGGGTTGAGAGGGTGCAAAAAGGGCACTAGCGCGCACAAAGTTATGATGCATTTATGGCGAAACAGCATGGTCAGGGATAGGATTATCACCCTATAGGGCACTTTAGCAGCATTATTTCAAACATGTCAATCTGTGGCATATAGTGCCTTAATGCTGTCACACTCTGTTAGTCAACGTATTATAGCACACAGAGTAAAACCATTGAATCACAAGTAAATCACTGCTCATGTCATTTATATTAAAGGGGGATTGATCAGCTTCAGATTAACACCCTCAAAAAGTGTTCCAGCTCTTATGAGTCCCTTCATGAGTCCGGCACTCACACTAAATTAAAGTAGTTTTGCCTCAGGTACTACTAACCTACAATGGAACCAAGTTACTGTTAACCAGTTGTAAGTGCCAGTACACTGTGGCTTAGTTTCCTTGTTATCACAGGTTTTGATCAGTTTGATCAAGTTGTATTAATATTTATTAACGTCAGCTATAGATCAAAATTGAACTTTGGCCTTTTACCGCCAGCACTCTTAGTGTGGATGAAGTCCTCAACGTGATATTTAATCTGTACTCACAGAACACTATATTTTGAAGTGGTCTAACATTTCCACTTTTTATATGCCAAATTGATTATTACACAAGCCGCAAACAAAAGACCACAAAAATCACATGAGAGGAAGGTGAGGTCAAAATTCACCGCACATGATCAGTGAGCACATTGGAACAGGGGCCAGGTCTGTAAATGATGACTAAACAAACAAACATCTCCTAATATGTTTCATTGGAGAAACTTCATAATAAGATTCAAAAATAAGTAAGCAGTAAGTTTCATAAACAGGAGACAAAAACAGAAAGACCAACTTCAGGCTCTTACCTCCAGTCCAGGAACGGCTCTCCTCAGGTAGCTGACCGCGAGGGAGGAATCACTGGAGCAGAGTGCAGTTTCTATTGTGGGTGTGCTGATGAGGGGGCGGTGTGTGTGTGTGTGTGTGTGTGTGTGTGTGTGTGTGTGTGTGTGTGTGTATGTGTGTACATGCGCATAAGTGAATACAAAGCCCAGCATCTATATCAGCCCTTGAAACACCTTAGTATTATTTGTTAGGTTCACAGTATGTTTAAGCTTCTGTTTAGCTTATACACACAAGTGTTATGTGTATGAATATATGTTCACATATATGAATGTATGTGTGGGTTTTATCAGTTGGATGATGGTGTTTTATTAGTTTGTGCTAAAGGTTCATCAGAAGAATTTATGGCAGCTTTAGACAATTTAAAGTAACAGCTACCTTTCTCCACAAGGCCTCAGCTGAGAGGTATATTACCTTAGAAAGAAAAAAAAAGAGCTGCAGGAATAAGCTTTTACATAGAGATTGACCAGAAAGAATAAAATCAAGGGCAATCATGATCTGCAGGAGAGAAGGGAGACAAGCCCGTTTCCCAAGTATAGAGCACCTTTATTGAGGATCCTCAATGTTTACATGAGCATAGAGTCAATACTGGTACTCGGGAGTCTAAGCGACAGGTGAAGACATAGCTTTTATCTCAGACAGCTAAAGCACTTTGTCCTTCCTCCTAAAAACCCAGAATTCAAGCCCTATGTGAGATTGGTTGAGTGCTCATGCCAACTCCTGGGCAAAAAACCTTGACACACTTAGCTTAATCTGGATTTTCTTTGACTGAATTAAAGCATTTTTCCATTCTTTAATTCAGTAGTTTTACACAGGGGCTCTAACACTATAGATGAGTTGGGACAAAAGACTGAGACAGAGACGAAAAAGAATAGTCAGAATTGAGATATTGTGAGTTTTAGTTCCTGGTGTGAGTCAACCCCACCCCCCGCTGACATCACTATGACATCATCAGAGGTCATTTTCAGACTTGAGAAATGGCCTCCAGAGCACCGGAGTACACTGTGCAACTGTAGTCACAGGACCAATAGTACTCCCCTTGACAAGTGAAGTGATTGTAATGCCTAAAAATGGGTTTCCCCTTAGACAAATACTCGGCCACCTGCTCAAGTTTGGTTTCATACTGTGTGAGTGTGTGTGTGTGTGTTTGTGTGACTGAACAGAAACACAGGTGAACCGAATGATTGTAGACCCCACAAAGCAGGGAATGTAATCTTTATTGCTACAAAGTGTATGACCTGCTGATCAGAGGGGAGAAAGGTACAAAGGTTTCATCCCCCTAGGGCTTCACAAGGATTACCAATATTAGCAGAATACAAATAAGAGAATAGAACACAATAATAGAAATACAAATGGGAATCACGTCAAATTAACTTTATTGGTCCAATATTTAATTCAACACAATATTCTCCTTAGAAAATTACAGAATTACTATGAATCCTGTCCTACAGAAGAGGGATTTTACAGTAGCATAAAACACTGCTGTGTTGAATAAGATGAACATGTTTTTGTAACAACACACTCCTAATAGTGCACTTTCTAAGTTCTTTCACATTCTTCTATATGAGAATTTCAGTAAAGTTAAAAATGCTACCAAGAAGGACCAGTGGTGTCAGAATTTATATTCATGTTCCCAATATTGGAAAAGCAAGCTAGCAAAAGCTGCAAAAATGGTGTCCCATCTAAACTCACAGCAGTGTGATCTTTAAATTAAACATATTTAGATCAATTATGGTTTAACAATCCAAAATTCAAGTCCATTAGGTGCATTTTTTTTCTTTTTGTTTTCATGAAGGAGTGATCTGGTACTCGCTGCACTGATAATGCAGCAAGAATGAACATTTACTTCATAAAAATCACACAGGAAACACTGCACTTATCTTTGAACATCTAAAACTTTCAGGTAAAAACTCACACACCCCCACTTCACCCAAGACAACACACACAGACAGCTCTGAGCACAAATGTCCGGTGAGGAAGAACCCTTTTTTCATAGGGATGTTACCTCCTAAAACCTCGACCCTATGGGGGTTCTTTAAGGAAATCTATAATTACTTAGATCTCTTTGAACCTGAGAAACACCCCCAGTGGACAGTCTTCAGGCTGTAGTTTACAGAGGGGGCACAAAGTCATTGTTTTGCAAGTCATAAGTACCACGTTAGTTGACACATAAGTCCCAAGTCAGCTCAGTCAAGTCTGAGGTGATTAATAATATGCATGATGACACAAGATCCATCCATTTGTTTGTTTTGTCTTTCCAATCTACATTTTGGGAGGCTAGATCGGGAGTCATTGGTGTTAAAAATCAAAGTTGAATTGCAAGGCTGTTTGAATTTTGTCCTCAAGTGTAAACTCATTCAAATTTGGATTCATAATCTGACTCCAAGTTTTGTGACTTGCATCCACACCTCTTGTAGTTTATTCCTTTACCGACATGACTGTCCAATCTAGACTTTTTTTATTTTTATTTTTATTTACCCTGGAGCTATAAGTCTTCATGCACGTCTCTGCGGCTGCGTTTGTCCAGCCAGCCCTGCAGCAAAGGAAGGTTGGTGTCCATCCAGCGGATGTTATCCTCGATGGTCTCGTAGGCCTGCCTGATACACCTCATCTCTGAGCCCGTCTCCTCGGTCAGGGAGCCAAAGAAGCTTCTCACCTGAGTACAGAGAAGGTGGACTTTAAAACAATCTTTGACCAGACATCTATTAAACATTCTAACATAGGGCAGAAAAGTTTGTGTAGTCAAACTGTAATCACAATCCTAGTTTCTACTGTTACTAAATGACAGCACACACTTTCTATAGAGAGACATAAGTAATGGAAGCCCTAAGTGTGGTCCATGATGGACACACAGCCTTGCTTACCTCAATCAACATCTCCCTGGTAGAATACTGGCTGGTTACCCCAGTCACCATGTATGATATGGTGTGAGAGCCCAAGTCAAATCTGTGGCATCGAAGCAAACAGAGACACAATTAAAAGTTTAGTTTTGTTAACACTGCGTAGAAAAAACAAACATTGTCTACAGAGATATTGAAAAAAAATCTATCTTCCTGACTCTGCTGTGTTTTCAATCAATTCTAAAGGAATCCAGTTTGAGTCTTTCTTTGTACATGACAAGCTAGTAAAACACCCAACTGTCAGCAAAAATACAGAAATTTCAATGCATGTGAAGTAACTACAGGACCTATCTGACACCAAACTGCAGTGAAGCTTGATTTAAGAAGTATTTGAAGAACAAAAAGCATTCTTGGCTCACACATAGTTGCAAAATTCTTGTAAAAATTGTAGTATAAAGTATAATCTATGCATGAGGGGGCTGACTGACTTCTTGATCAGGGTGTGCCAGTTTGCTCGGAAGAAGTCCCAGGCCAGTTTGTAGCCACGGGGGTTCCTGCTGACAGAGACAATCACATCCGGGAGGTCCTGAGTCTTCATCACCTCACCGTGGAGGCTCTGCTCCATCATCCTGCAGACAGAAATAACAGTACAAGGAAAAACATAGCAAAATAGAGGGTAAAACTAAAGGGAAAAAAATAATGATTAAAGGCCAGAAAAATGATGTACCCACCACTTCAGCTTGTCCTGCAGTGGGGTGACCGCCATTGCACTCTTCAGTCGGCTCTTCACAGACATTTGCAGAGAGCTGCGGTACTTCTCAAACAGGAAGTCCCACCCCTCTGGAGTTCGAGCTCCGATCACAAACACAGCCATGGTGACGTCAACAGGGAGGCTGAAAACAGAAGACTTTTAGTTCAGTAACAACTATCTGGAAACTTTTCTTCATCTGTGCTCATAAATATTTAAATTTTAAAGCGCTGACTACAGGCCGAATTTGTGAGGAAGACTCGTGAGCGAATATCTAAAGGAGTCTGTTTGTGGGCTCCTTTAGGACCGTGACCCCTGACCTCATGTTGCCGTCGGATTCCCTCCACTTGTTAAAGAGCTGGGTGGCTTTGGTCACACAGGGAGGGTAGTTCCTGACACAGCCGAACAGCAACAGGTAGCTCCTCAGCACTCGCTCAGACACTGATCCAGAGTCAGTCCACTCCTGCCGATCAATCAGCCCTCGGAACAGATCCACAATGTAGCCCTGAAAAACAGTCAGTGTATAAATCTGGGCTGAAAGAGGTTGTCAATTATACTGAACAGGGGTCAGGGCTTTTTATGCCTTTAAGTGAGAGAGAGAGAGAGAGAGAGAGAGAGAGAGAGAGAGAGAGATCTGTTAACTTGGTGGGCAACTGTCATTAAATCATCAATTCAATTATTTAAAAAATATGATGAAAATAATTACATCTCTCTTTAAACACTTCATATTAAAAAATAAACTATCATCACAAAATAAAATAACTAAAATAATAAAGTATAAAGTGAACTTTGTATTCAGGGTCTGTGTCTGAGTTTTGAATTGCAAGAAGCAGAGGAGCAGCAATCTACTTATACAATATGTGCACAGTCCATTGTTTTTCAAGCTTTTTCACTACTTATGCAAGGAACCATGACTCAGTGTGTATACTCTTCTCTCTGCACAGAAGCACTAGCAGTTCTTTGTGGTGCTTTTGGCCTCTAGTAGCATTATGGAGCAGTTTTTTCTTGAGTGGGTACCCGTTTGTTTCTCTCATGCATACACACATGGGTGATATGATACACATTCAGCTGACTGATTGATCCACAAGTGGGCCAGGAAATGTAACAATGCACCGGCAAAGGAAGGGGATAAGATGACTGCAAGCTAGTAAACATGGATGCAACAATACAGGATTAAAAATACCTAAAAGAACTGTATTGTATTGTAAGTAACAACTATTAACCATCAACTACCTTGCTCTAAGTGGATGTTTAAATTGCTAGTTTGGGTTTATCACATTCATAGACGAAGCTTGAGTATCCCAAAATCCTTTAAAGCGGCGAGATAACATGAACCTCCCTTTAGAGTTCAAGCCATTTCAACAAAAACAAGACCAACTGGTACGCTTATGTTTATTGATATAAATGGAATATTGACTTTTTTTGTGACGTGCCACAAATGCTGACTTCACTAACCTTCATCTGGTTCTCCAGAGCAGCCATGTCCCTCTTCTCCATCAGTTTATAGAGAGGTACGAGCTCTCCGAAGCCCTGCGTCACAGCCATGATCTCAGTCTCTCTGGACAGGTACAGAGACAGCTCCAGAGCCGTGTCCAGCCTCACCTTTCCTACACTGCAACACACACGACAGGCTTCGGATTAACACCAGGCTGCCAGGTTTTGTCCCTTTTGACAATCAGTCGAAGTGACGCAGGACAAACAGCAAGTTTAACTATTATCCGATCTTTAAACAGACCTGACCAGCTGGAAGACGTTTTGGATGAGGCTGGCGCGGTCGTTGCTGGTCAGGGCTGTGTGGTTGTGTTGCAGCAGTTTGATAATCGAGTTCCAGCCCTCGCCTGCGTAGTGGACCATGTAGTATCCGCTCATGTCCACGTTGAACTTCACCCAGTCCACCTTCTCCGGCAGGTACAGGACGTCTGCATGGAGGTGTAAAGACAAACTTTGACAATAAGGGGACTTGTAGAATAAAAATGTTATGTTCAATATGTGGATAAAGAATGTCAATATAGCAATCTGATGGTCCACCTGATCACACTGACCAACACACTCACCAGTCTTTGTCTTCAGCAGGAAGCGGTGGATGGTGTTTGAGGCACTGGTCATGTAGGTCAGTGGGATCTGCCACAGGAATCTATCAGCACACAATTATAATCATAATCAATCATAATTAAAAGAATACAAAAAAAAAAACTATTTAAGAAATAAAATATACACTAATATATACTTAAACAATATATCTAGCAAGTGAAGATGACACCATGACTTTAAATTATACTTAAAATGCAAGAGGAGGGACATCTGTAATGACTGACATCGCACACTTGTGTTATCTGCCATGACACTCTTAATCCGACATTTTACCCTTCAGTGAGGGAGGGGTCGTCTGTCTTCAAGTAACGCTCCTGACTGAGCCTGACCTCGCGACCTCTGACTTCCACAGTGACCAGAGGGAAGCCCTCCTGCAGTGTCCAGGTGTCCATGATGGCTCTGACATCCAGCTCATCACCAGAGAACCATTTCTGCACAGGCACACACGTGACACAATTAGATACACAATCAATGATGTGACATTATAAACAGTGAGAGTGCAGCATTGTGCCATGGACACCAGAGTACTATCAAAACATGTGGGAAATTCAGAAATATTGAATTTGTGTAGTAAGTAGCAAAATATCATGTATGTCAAATGGAAAGAAAGAAACAGAAAACGAGATTTGTTTGTGGTTTGTTGAACTTCAACAAAGCCTGAAAACATACAGAGGCTCCAGACTGGATGCTTTGCTTGGAGCAGAACTCTTTGTGTTTGATTCGGCCCTCATCCAGATCGTCTGAGTTGCAGATCTGATAGGGAGGCACACAAAGTGTTAGCAGATACTCATAACAGTGCAAACGATGTATTTGCAACTGCACTACTGATACTTCAGGGTTACATGAGCTGGAAAAAAGGCCAATATGTCCCCCAAAAATGTTTTACATCTTAAAATAACTGGGCCATATTCACTGCTGCGATGAGATTAAGTGAGAATGCTAGACCTGGCATCAGCCAGATGTAAACCATCATGCAGAGGTATCCTGGCTTACTTACATGACTTGTCTTATTAAACTGAATGATTAAAGCCAACGACCTCAAGTGACCACCTCACAAAAATGGATATTAAAATTTAAGCAGCGTAACAGCAATAAAACAATCACTGTGTAAATACAGGCTTTCAACAGTGAATCAGTTCACTCACATTAGTCAGGCTCTCCCATAGGTGGCTGTTGACAGTGTTTTGGTAGCTGTAGCGCTTGAGGTATCGGATGATGCCAATCTCAAAGGCTTCAGGAGTCAGGAAGTCCCGCAGCATATTCAGAATACATGCTCCCTAAAATAAACACAGGCATGCTGACAATTAACAATCCAAATACTTTCTGTTGTGTTAAACACTTTTACCAGTACTTTCACCTTTATGTTAATGTTCTGTTTCCACTGCACATTTAGGAATAACTCATTTATGCAAATTACTAGTCATGGTAATTACTCGCTCTTCTGATAAATCTACTTTAACTCCTACCTAGTACCCTAACAATTGTCTGTGTGGTTCCAATTATCAAGTGCATCAACACCAAATGATTGGTCCTCTGACAGAATGAGACAGACCTTGTCATATGATACGTCGTCAAACATCTCCTGGATCTGTGTGGGGTTTTCCACGTGGGTAGAGACTGGGTGAGAGGAGCTGAGGGAGTCTACCTCCATGGCCTCAAAACATTTACCCAAGAAGAAGTCATCCTGGGAGAAAGAAAGCGTGTTTATTGAAGCACACCCAGTGCAATGTCAACATAATCTACAAATACTGTAGTTTAAGGTCATTTTTATGTGCCATTTGGTTATTCAGCTAATGTACAGTACTTCATTTTTTTTTATCACACTGTACCATTGGTATCTTTCATGTTATGCCTGTAAATGCTTTCTGAATTTACCTTAGAGAGACAGAAATAGAGAGAGTATAAATAACAAAAGATATGCTGTAGTGTGCGGACTATAAGATACAAGTCAGTCCCCGGTGCTCAGCTCTCACCACTTGCAGCTCTGGGTAGGTGATGTCGAGGGAAATATACTCCATAAACTTGGCAAAACCCTCATTGAGCCACAGGTCGTTCCACCATTCCATCGTCACCAGGTTCCCAAACCACTGGACGGAAGAAGAGAATTTCAAATATAAATGCCAGCTTCACTTTTCTCGTACAGAATGACAAACTGTTACACCAACTAGTTATTTTCGTTTTTCAAAACAGATGCAGGCCGTCTACCTGGTGTGCGAGCTCGTGGGCGATGACCTTGACGAGACCCAGTTTGTCTGAAGCGGAGGACTTGTTAGGGTCGAAGAGGAGGCCCGTCTCTCTGTAGGTGGTCAGCCCCCAGTTCTCCATCGCTCCTGACTGGAAGTCAGGAATAGCAGCCAGGTCTGCAGGGAAACACATAAATACAATTAAATATAGTACCTTAATGTCACCTGCTGCTCAAACTGTATTTTCAACTCTGCTGAAACATGTACTAATATACATTTTTAAATTATTTTAAATGTATTATTATTTCCTATTATTTTATCATATTTATTGCTGTTTTCATGCCTTTAGAGACATTGCTGGTTCCCTCTGAACCTTTTTAATGCTCATTTTCTTCCTAAAGCTTTTCTGTTCATTCAGGAGTGGACAAATGTTTTACCCAGTCAGGGCACGGAGCACTGGCACTGTTAAATTCACATGTACATATCTATATATAGTCAAAGTGACCTCACATCAAGCAGAGCGACATGAGATAAGATGTGATCCTGGATGTCTGCACAAAGGACAGACATTCACCAACCAAAGCACACAAACAAACACAGAACTATGACTTTGACACCGTTTTCAATGGTTAACAGAGTTAGCTGATCTTTATATGCTGACTCTATCCAATGACACTTCTGGCATATGGCATTTGCCAAGTCTTTTCCTAAATTGATTCAAAATATGTCCACTATAACATAAAACTACTTCAGTTCTTTGTAAGTCAAAACAGTATTTTTTAAATAAAATACATACTACTGCCACTGGCTTAATAACATGGTAATAACATGTACTTCCACTGACCCTGTTTGGGAAGCGGGTAAGGAATATCAAAATAGTCATCGTAGAAGTCCAACAGCTTGACAGCAGCATCCAGTGCGAAGGCTGTCTGGTCGATCTTCTCAGGTACAGCGTAGACTGAAATCTGATGGGAATCACAGTAAAGAACAAACTCCTCAGTATTAATGTTGCAGAAAGTTTTATCAACGGATGCATCGTTGTTACATGACAATTTCAAATGTATAATGTAGATTTTCTGCCAAGGAAGCTCTACGTGAGAGCTAAACGACGGCATGGCCAGCGTCTGTTGTCCTCCTCACCTTGACACCGTGCTGGGTGGTCTTGCTCACAGACAGGAAGTCAGACACAATGTAGGCCACCAGGTAAGTGCTCATTTTTACAGTGGTGTCGAAGTGATCCTCAAGCAAATCGCCGGGCAACTCCACGGTTTTTAACTGAGAAACACAGGGGTGTAGTGACAGAAACGGAGATGGTCAACTGGTCAGTTACAGATAGAGTACGGTGAATTAGTACCTCTTCAACGAAGTAAAGTGATATTTCTGCATGGACATGTACCTTAGGCATGTTGGATATGGATATGTGGCGTGGCTCTCGTATAATCCGTATGGTGAAGTTGGCTTTGAAGGCAGGCTCATCAAAACACGGGAAGGCTCCACGAGCAAAGGTGGCTTCAAACTGCGTAGATGCCAAAACCCTAATAAAAGTAAATAAATAATAGTAAAATAGAATTTAGATTAGATGTTTCCCATCAACCCAGTTGCAATCAACACAACAACAGTATCCTGAAATATCCAATAAATAGCAGTTTGACAAGAAAGTCAGTCATATCACTTTTGGTCTTACGTTTACATTTATATCTCAAATAAATGCGAGACTGATTCAGTGATGTTAAAATGATACGCTCAAAAAACAGAGGAAAAGAAGTTAATCGCGCTCTTACCGGACCTCCCCATTCTTGGTGCGGTAGCTGCTCTTGTAGAAACCGTGGAAGCTGTCAGACAAGTTGGCAGCGAACTCCAGCTGAACCTCATACCTCCTACCTTTGGTGAGCACCGAGTCTGACAGCAGGGCGAGCTGGTGGAAAGGAGGATACTCCAAAACCCGGAGAGGCCTCACACCTTCGGGTGCGAGGAGCAGCACATTGGATACCTGCATCTGCTTTGCGTGCAGGACGACCATGCTGGTGTCTTCATGCACGTCCAGCAGGATGCGAGCGACGCCGGTGAAGTCGAGGGTGGTCAGGTTGGGGTGGATGGTCAGGTCGTAGTGGAGGGGGTAGACGGTTTTAGGAAGTCTCATGCGGTCCCAGGGGAACGGCTGGCCGTTGGTGGCGATGGGGACATCCTTGGCTTGGCCTTGATTTGGTAGCTGCGCTGCTGATGAGGGACGAACGGGGACGAAGAGCAGCAGCAGCAGGAGAGGAGCTGCTAACATGGTGTCAATGAAAGCAGGAAGTGTTCTCACCTGTAATACAAATACAGGATTATGTTCAGAAACAGCTTTATTATACATTTCCTACATTTTTAAATGATAAATCTTACTTCCTAGGGACCTGGGGACACAGCTCATACTCAGAGAACAACCAGGACTGACTTTGTTGTCCATTCAGATAACATTTAGCATCACATTTCTTCAGATGGGTGTCACATTTTTAACTTTCTCATTTCATAAACTCAGAGACAGCTGCATAGTTAGTGAAACAACTGCAAACACCCAGTAAATGAGACAATGAGAGCGCACAAAGAGGACAGGTGAGCTGGAAGTGCAACACTTTCGATTTCATAAAAATGTCCATTCATTAATGCTCACGAATCCCTATCGAGAAAAACTCCAGTTTCACCAAAGCTGAAGCTGCTGTATCGTCTATTATCTTACACTCTCAACATGAGTCAGCTGTGTACGAGTTATACAACAAAATATAATGTCCAGCTCACCGTGTCGTCTTCTGCACGCAGGTTTCGCACCAATAATTCAAGAGTGAAAGTGAAACAGACCAAGGTGGAGTTGCATGCTGGGAGAAACCAGAGGAAACGTCCCCTGCTGCGTAAGATGGCATTTAGTGCATCACCAAAACTTCCAGGACGTCTTTTAATGCCTGCGGTTTATACACACAGACCGGGAGGTATGAGTTATAAAGACATGCGAAACGTTTTCAAGACCATTAAATGTTGCAAAGTAACAACTGTATCAGTCCACGGTTGTGAAAAGAGTGAGAGCGACAGTGTATTAAGGTAGGAAATAGAGGGAAACATGCACTGTGAACAGGAAGTTCCGTGTTGTTATTGTCTGCAATGATATATCTCACCACTAGAGTGCGCTGTTGCTTTAAATTAACGGTCATTTCTGCTTCTGCTGGTGATGATAGTCGTCCCTTAGATGTTAATGCATTTTACTGAACCAGCTGAAATGAATTTGATTCAGTTGAATTTTACTGAACTAGCATGATTTATTGCAAAATGTGTAAACCTGACCTCAGTGAGCATCAGCAAAACATGCACACAGTCAATGATTCATACTGACGTCTCTAAATCCAAAGCATATTTACTGATTGGTTTAATAAATCAGGTATAAAAATACAATGAAACATACATTTAAACATATATTTTCAAAAAATCCCCCTGGCTTTAAAAGGACAATTTCTCCAAACCAAAGCCAAGTGCTATGCTGTGGTAATTCACATATACACAGTAATCACATTTATATGGTTCCTCCTATCATCACAAGGTTTTAAAAAAAAATACATTTAAATAAATGGACAGCTGCAGAGGAATGTCTGTTCAAAGGTCAACAGTATAAAGAACATAGAAAATAAAGTTTGAACACACTAACATTCATGTAGTCAATTAAAAAGTTGGAAGTACTGATTTCTTTTTCACTTCTGCTGTAACATTTAAATTCATTATAAAATGAACTGTCTTGGAAATTCACCATTTTGCTTCATTTATTTATTTCTCAAGTAAAAAAAACAACAACAACTGAACTGCACATTTGTTTTGTTCTCAAAATAAAGAAAGACATGGAAAAGGTCCCAAGAGACAAAAAGTGACAGAAAAAGTGGGAAATTGTTTCCTTGTTCAGTTCACGAAAGTCACACCTGCAGTCCATGTTAAAGTTAATTTTTCACAGGACTATCATTGCACAGGTTGCATATTGAACCAGAAGGAGGAAATCATCCGCCACCCTAATAAAGATGTGCTCATGTTGCATTAGCATACAGAATGAAAGACATGTACTAATAAGCTCACAAGATTTGCGTGCAAGTTTAATAAAATAGGCAAAGACAAGGAGGTCTTAGTTAGGTTCCTCAATTGGATTTATGTGTTTTTATTGTTATATTTAAGTCAATAAACTGGCTAACTTATTAACTATTAATGCAATGAAGACTATAATATAGAATGAAGGATTGTAAAGTTTGATGTTCCCACTCCATCATTTCAAACTCGCTTCATCTTGGACCGATAAAACAACTACTCATTCAGCTGTTCAAAGTGTTTGCAGCTGAAAAGACAATTTGGCAAGGGATTGCCTTTAAGCCATGAATCCAGTTCAGTTAGCTTTGGTAAAACAAGTCATGTCTTTCATCTTGCATTTAATCCTTTTTAGAGGGACACTTTTACATTCAGAACCTCCTTTTCAGATATCACTTTCCAAATCATAATCTCACTTTATAACCTGTCGAGGATATCTAAACTGTAAAAATATAAAATAAACCAGGAACTACTGAATATCGTGAAATGCAAATATTTGTATTAACATTGAAAATAAATTGATTTATACACTTACGTCACACACATACACAAAGGGATAAAGTCCATCTCATTGGCAAACATTAATGAGTAAACTTTACAATGAGCATGTCTCTTTCTTACGGGAGGTCACTACAGCAGCTGCACTGGTGTTGCAGTGATCATTTGGGAACCAGATGCAAGGATTTTCTCTTACATAAGACTGATTCATAAGCAACACCAAAGCATTCCTGAACTTTGCAGGGAGCTCACTGTCAGAAAATGATAAAGCAGCTGTTGATTTCGATAGTGTGTGGCGCTGCCATGCTGACCGTAGGTATCCTAATCGGTCACTATGGTATCACCAATGCACCGTCCTGGGTGAAGGATGTGGTGAGGGATGTGGACGAGAGCCTGATTGAGAAGTTCTTGTCTGAGGTGGACAACATCCAGATTCAGGAGAACCTAAAGTGAGTTGATGAATTGTGAAATTTAGATTTTATTGGTCACACAGTAAGGCTTTTTTCTTTTTGTTTATGTGTTCAAGTGACAAAAAAAAAAGTGAAACCTACTAAAACACCTTTATCAAGCAGCTTTTGAGTTGGGGTTTCAAGTGTTTCATCAGCATCCTTATGAGGTCCAATGGGAATACTCCAAATTATATTTTTCTTTGGTTTTAATATCCAACAAGTAATTTATTTTTTCTTTATGCTCATGTTCCTCCACAGGGAGTTGACCAAAGTGCCTCATATGGCCACCACAGCTGGAGACGAGCAAACAGTGCAGTTAATGCTAAAGAGATGGCAGGACCCCGAAAGCGGCCTGGACCAGGCCTGGAGGGAAGAGTATTTGGTCTACTTGTCCTTCCCCGACCCCAAGAACCCCAACAAGGTTACTGTAGGTGAGTCAACAAGTTGCTGAATGTGTGTTGAAAGTGGGGACAGTCACAGCATCCCTCTCCATAGTCCATTCAGTACATTTTTAAATGCTGAAAGTCACTGGTTCTTTCACTACAGTAGTGGTAGTGGGTCCAACACAATGAATTCATAGAAACAGTCCAAATGAAACATTACATTGTAAGATGCAGTGAGTCAATAGATTTTACTCCGTGTGTTGTATGATTAACTGCTGTGAAAGCTCCAGTAAAACTGGATTTGAATAATCCGCGACATCTGCAGGATTATCCCAAGGAAGCCAAAGTCCTCAAGACACTCGTAAATGATTACATTTAGCTCATGTTTCCCATCGTGTCGCATCAATATCAACTTTAGCTGGAAGTAATATTTTTTGTTTAGAAATATAATTTACATTCCACATTCAGTCCAAATTCCACTCTGAAAAGAAAACTGGAACTAATCAAAAAAAGTCCAGTCTGTTAGTTTTTCACTAAATTTTTGTGGGTTCTAACATCGAGTAGGTTTTCATTCTGACAGTGACCCAATGAGTTTCACTTCATTTACTAGCAGACCATTCACCACAAGTTGTTTATTTCAGTGAGCCCGTCTGAAACTGTGCTGCACACTGCCAGAGAGAAAGAGAAGAGTTATACTCCAGACCAAGATGATCCTGCTGTGGTTCAGCCGTACGCTGCATACTCCCCCGCTGGACACCAAAGGGTAAATTCAGTTTCTGACCATGGCCTGTCATTCACTGTATCATTGAATAGAAAAAAATTAATTATGAAAATACCTATATAGCACACAATAGAGACTGTAATGTATTGTATTTATGCTGATTCAGTGATTTCATACAATGTATTTAATGGAATGAATAGAATAGGCTCCATGCTGCCTCCTGATGTAAAGTCATTTTAACCTCAAAGCTCTGCTATAGTTCTCTAAATCCTTACTTGAGGTTAGTAAGGAGCATAAATATGATTTTATCTTAATTAACTTTTACACAAAATGGGTGATGGACTATTTTCAGGGAAAAAAACAAAAGAGGGCTTTTTTAAAAACACAAATAAGTTGACAACCTTTGTGTTGGAAACCAAATCTGTAGCACTTAACCAAGCTCATGAAGAAATAATACCTGTACACCATAAAGAAGTCATATACTGCAATTCAGCTACAGAAGAAGCATCTAGTATTTTATTGCAGAGATACATGGACAAATAAAAAGATCATTGGTGATAATGTTTGAATGAAGCATTCATTATTTATGGAAAGTAATTCACTGAAACAATAAAACTCACATGATTGTCACATCCCCGTCTCACACAGCACAAGCTTACCTCTCATAACCCTAGAGGCCCCTGCTTGCATCCTCTGACAGAGGAAAGACAAGGGACATGTATCTGTTAGCCACAGTCACTGTAGACTCGTAGGACTATTGTCTGTGTTTGACAGACAAGTCATTACTGAACTATAATGAGGTTCCAAGATTTTGAGATCTTTAAAAAATGAAACTCCTAGTTTAAACAAGAGGTGGTGCAACAACAGAAGCTTGGGGGAAGGTTTAGTTTATATAGATCTATACAATGTAAATACCTTGAAAGGGAAAAAGGAAAAAACTTAAGAGAATAGTAATTTTGAATGATTGTTTTTCAGTAAAAGCCAGATATGACTGGTGATTTACTGGTGCAGATATGGCTTAAGGGTAAAACCCTTTCTCTGTCTTATCGTGTAGAGATTAACGAATTATGATGTAGACTGAGTTAATAAATAATCAACAGCCCATCTGTTAGGAGTGGCCAAGATTGATTGATTTGGTTTATTACTATCTATCTAAGGGGAGGAAGAGGGGGGCATAACAGTGGGTATGATGAAAGAAGAGGCTGTGATAAGAGGCTGTAATGAATTTAAGATGTGCCTATTAGAGTTTAGTGAAAGGATTTTCAGGGGGCAGTGTGATGATCTTTAGAGGTTTTCAAGAATATGAAAAAATACAGTATATATATTTCTTGTAGAAAAATATTTGCTATATCCCAGACTAAAAAACTGCACAAAAGGCAGCTGTGTATTTAAATTAGTGTTATTAAAATATCACATTGTCTTGTCCTGGCTTTTTGTTCTCTGGGTTACTTTTTGAGTTGCTGTTGTTGACACAGAGGTGATCTTTCTGGTGGTTTTAAGGGGCGACTGGTGTACGCCAACCAGGGGAAACCAAGTGACTACCTCCTGTTGAACCAGACGGTGGATCTCAAAGGAACCATCGCTATCACCAGATATGGTGGAGCAGGAAGAGCTGCAAAAGTGAGTTACACTTTGTGCTTATTAGTGAGTAACTTATTATCCTGTTTGTGTTTAGTTATGTTTTATAAAAAATTAACAGAAACAATCTGTCCAGGTGAGACAAATGTTGAGTGCTTTGGAAAGTTTCATCAGTAAGGTCAACACCTCTAATCTTAAACAACACCTTTTATTGAGATAATAAATGTTACAGAGGACAAACATGTTGCAATTTCATAGTTTCCTTTTTTTTTCTTACAGCACTGCGACTGTAAGACCATCTCAGTTAATTGCACCAACTGGTTAACTGAGAACAAATA